CCATGGGATAGACCATGTAGATGGCGATTGATAGTACTCAAAACCGTAGTTAGTATGGTATGTAACGTCGCTGTGTCTTCTTCTGTTCACGGGCTGCGGGGAGAGCGGGACCGAGCTTCAACTTTCACGCCCTGCACGCCGCATACGATGCCTGTGCGATGAGCAGTTTATATTTACAGGACGGTTCACCTGTCATAACCAAGAATTCTGACCAACAGAAACTGAGCGTCTGCGAGGAAGAGCTGCGTGTTGTCGCATGCTGGAACGTACGGATGTCGAACGGTGGTCACAGTCTGGACGACGTTGTCCGAACCGAAATCCACTACATGCCGGGCGTCGATGGAATCGCACGGTCTCACCTTCCAGCCCGGCCAGTTGCATCAGCGGTTTGAATATCGATAGCAGTTCTGTTCTTCTCGTAATCACTAACCTTGCCACGACGCTGGTATTCCAGTTCCGCTGCGGTCGGCGAATGCTGACGTTCGTCGAGTCCATTAACTTCTGTGTCCTCTTTAACTTCACCATTTTCTGAACGACACACGGCAAAATGAACTTTCTTGTCGTGTATGCCCCTTCCAATGCTGCTAAAGACACGAACAAGGACCACTTTTCCGCAATACATATTTTTGATCATGACGTTTGGCCTAACGATTGGTCAGCACGACAAAACGAATAAAAGAAAAGCTTTAACCGTTGGAATATCGGTGTTCCTTACACTTACGTACTAGGATCAGTTCTAGTACCCTTGTATGGATGAAGGTAATCTTGACGAACGTTGAACTCTGTTTCCATGTCGTCGGCCAGGAGCGCCGTATTTCTTTTAAAAGGTAGAATCGACTTCAGCCATGTGAGAAGCAGTTTGTATTTACTTGTTTTTTCCACTCATCTGTCAACTAAGGAAAGAAGACAAGTGAGTGACCCCGAATATGACTTAAATTCAGTACCTCTCGGTACTGAGTCCAGCATTCTACCGACCGAGAAACATCGGTCTGAAGGAACGTTGGTAAATTTTAATAGCTCAAAGAAATTCGTGGTAACAAAAAATATTGTCCTCGGCGGCAATCGAACTCAGCACCTGGGGAGTTCAAGTTCGAAGCCGACCTCCTGTGCATTGTTCCACCACGCAACATGTTGGCACAGCAGGGGTGTTCCCAACAACTTGGCTTTTGTTGGTTGTTTTTTATCACTGCGTCACGACGGCTTTGTCCTCGGCGGGGCGCTCTTCAACGTCGTCACATTCAATAGCAGACGAGGTCGTTTTACG